GGTTAGACTTTTTTCAATTAGGTAAATCGATGTGCTTATCTTGATTTTTCTATTTTTAAAAAATATTTTTTAAAAAAAATAAGAGTGTACAGCCATAAAAATGGGGTTGTAAGATTTTACATATTACAAAAATTTTTTTTTTAAAAAAAATCAAAGAGGCTGTAGCTTATAGAATTAAAGCAAAAACATGATTGGTAACAAAGGATGTAGGTTTGAAACTTAAAGAATTAAAACTCCAACATGATTGGTAACATAATGATGTTTTAAAAAAAATTAAGGCTGTAGATAAGACTTAAAGCCCAACCAATCATGCACAATATTAAGATGGTTTTGCCTTTTCTACTTTTTTTTTATGTTTTGTTACATCCCTTTGTTTAAATAAAAAATCTATTTATTTTTCCATTCAACCGTCAATATATTATTACCAATAAGAACATTTTCAAATCGGTATCTCTTAATGTATAGCCATTTCATATCACTATTTCCTATCGTCACCACTAATTGTATTGCCTTCTTCTTAACCGCAAATGACTTTTAAAAAATTGGTCATCAATTGGATCCTAAAGAAAACGACAATGTGTGAGTGTTTGATTATTTATGGGACTTGATAAATTCGGGTTGTAGCTTAATTATTTTGATGTGAAAGATATAGAAGGCTCAATACTTAAAATTTGAAAATAAGTCTCTCTATAAAATAAATAGTTAGAGCATCCCCATTATTGGCTTTAAATTTTGCCAAGAGCTTTTCAAAAACTTCTAAACTATCACCAATCAAATACTATTGAATGAATATCAATTTAAGTAAAACGATGTCAAAGTCCCCATACCTCGTGTAAGAGATATTTTTGACATGCATCTAGTGTTATTAATATTAGATGAGGTTACACATTTCTATATGAGATTCAGGATATTGTTTTTTACCAAGACAACAATATCACATTTATTCACCAAATTTTCCAATATACAACTATAATTACATATGAAATATGAAAAAATGAAATGACTCAATTGCCCTTGTAACTACAAAAAAGATAAGAGTTTTTTGCTTGGCCACGTTTTTCCCTCTTCTCCTCTGGTTGTTATGACTCAGTAACTAACAAATAGTTTGGTCACATTTTCCTTATTTCACAACGGTCTTACTCTTTACCAGATTTTTTAGGACAAAATTCCAAAATCATTATAACCATCTTTTTCTTTTTCTTTTCTTTTCTT